TATATATATATATATATATATATATATATATATATATATAGTAAGGGTTATAGTTTGTTTATCCACAAACTGATTGTCTGGTAGTCTTTGTGTCCAGCTCTATACCTGTTCTGTTTGAGATACCCTAAAATTAACAGGGAGAAACCTGAGCTTTGCTATAAAGGCTGAATTTTCATGGGAGCCAGCCAGTAGCAATGAGATTGCTATACAAAACACCAAAACATTCTCGTCCTCTGAAAAATTATCATATCCTGAGAGGCTACTTTTAGTAAACCAAGGAATTTGTACATATGTTAAGGTAAAATATGACAGAACAGCTATGACTGATAGCTGCTCATGCAGATGTACCCAAGATAGCTTTAAATGACTTGGCTCTTTTCCATACCTCTCAGTAATTACCAAAGAGTCTTCAGGAGCTTCACAAGCTTTGTCAGTACCCTGACTATTACAAGTGAAAAAGCAACATCAGACCTTACAGTGTAGGTATCTTATCTAAGTTAACCTAGCTCAGATCTGTGTAAAAGAATGAAAATCTCAGCTCACAAGTGTAGAGCTCTCCACCTGCTTATGTTATGGGATTTACTAACTTCATTTCAGCTAAACTAATTCCAGCAAAAAATATATATAAGATTTCTAAAACAAGTTCTTTCATATTTTTCTCCACAAACACTGTGTGCTAGAAGATTCTATCCAAAATTATGCAGAAATCAATGGGACTGTATTCTGTAGAACAGCGAATGAGTTTTCAAACTGGAAATGTGTAAAAATGTGCAACCAGTTTTCTTATCAATCAGATTTAAAAAACAAAAAAATATTTCCCAAAGTTACCAAAGTGTAAAGAATAAGACAAATGTTAAGGCATAAGAAATTCTGAGAAAAATCAACACAATGTTGTTCTGGGAATTTGAAGATAATGTGTCCAGCCAACTGTTAACTCTATCAGATTGAAAGGAAAATGTAATATTCTACAAAAATCTGAAGTGATAATCTGACAAAGACATTTAAAATATCAAATACTTACAAATCCATACTCTAAGTCCCAGCACCAGCAGTAATTGAAAAACCTAACGAAGACAGCTCTCAAGAAATCACCAATCAGAATTGTGATGTATGTTGTCATTGTGTCAGAGACTGTCAGCCGCACAAATTCCTGTTAGAGTAAATTTTATTTTTATTATATTTAAACAACTAATAATTACAATAATAATGAAATATTCAAGTAGATCCCTAACTGTACCTACCCGGCTGCAACTTGGAAAAGACTCTTCCCCTACACTACATTCACTGATTCTGAAAAATTCCAGGAGAAAAACAGCCCCTCACTTGCTAGAGGTGTCCTTTGCTCTAATTTGTGTTCATATTATCAGATGAGACTTCCAGGATATGATTAGACTGGGAAAGGCTTCCAGCCAAGTTTGCTGCTATAACAGAAATCTGAGCTGATATCTTAAACTGCTTTTGATCCCCTTGACTTTGGGAAGAATTAAAAAAACAAACCAAACCAACCAAACAAAACCAACAAAATAAAACAAAAAGTACAAACAAAACAAAACAAAACAACAACAACAACAACAAAAACAACAGTTAATGGCTTGCTTTCTCAAGGAACCCCAACTCCCAGTGATCGTGGAGAGGAAAGAAGGAAATCTTAATAGAAATCATCATTCATCTACTTTTATTTTAGTAAGTCCCACTATATCCTACTGTAACAGGCTTTACTCCAATAGCCCAAAAGGCTATTATTCTCCCTGATCTGAAATTAATGCGATAATTAGTGCAGTGATGAGCTCTTGGTGTTCTTAGCTTCTTATTCAGCACCAGTGAAAAAAATAGAGGGATTGTTTTTCCTGGCTGTCGGCTCCCTGCTGGTGATTTATTCAGTCAGGTGTGAGATTGTTAGAGTGATGGAGCAACAGCAAAAAATCTGTATTCAGTAGTGAATTCATTCTTATGCACAAAGCAATGGTGAGGTATGATCAAATACAGGAACAGAGGTTGTTAGAAGATTCTTTGGAAATTACATTCTATATTATTAGGTCAATAAGAATAAACGTTGAACTGAATCATATGAAATGGCTGAGCAGATTTACCATTAAACCACTACTGTTCTTTTGCATTATGTTACCTGGCTATGATACAGATGACTTCTCAAAAGAAAACTGCTGTAAAAGTTGTCTTATTTGTATTTCTTTGTTGAGCTCTTTTTTTTAATCTTTTCTATAGGTCTGTTTTAGTCAGGAACTGGTAGTGCCTGATCAAAATTCTAATCAGAATTATCACATTTATTAGGGTTGTGACAAATCAAAGATTTCACAATTGTTGAACAGGTTTTACAAGACAAATATGGGATGAGAAAGAGGAAGGTAAATGAAGACAATAGTGAAAAGGAAGGGGAAAAAAAGAAACTTTTTCTATGCTGTCAACTATCAGGAAAAAGAACTCCCTACTAGACAGACTTCAAAGAAACTAAACTTATTTTTTTTATTTAACTTTTTAGCTTTGGAAAAAGTCCCACATCTGCTTTTCCTCTCATTTTCCCAACTTAATCCCACTCATTAGTAGAGGGTTTAGATATCAGATCTTGTAAAGACTACCATCTATTTTCAAATATGAGATCAAAGCAGTTACATTACCTGTCCTACCATAGTTTCCCAGCATGGTCCTCTGGGGACATCTGCAGGGTCCACCTCAATTGGAGGAGCAGTCGAATTTTCTGGAATAGTACCATTGTATAGACTAGCTTCCCATATTGACATGTTATACTTGACTATCTTTTCTTCTTCCAACTAAGTAAAGAAATAAATTGGGAAAAAAAAAAAAACAAACCACAATATGAACTTGTTACCAACTCTCAATCTTTTCTACTCCAATACTCCCATTACCATGGTGCTCAGGCATGAACATGATTTACAGTGGAGAAAGAGAACATCTTTCACTATGTCTGTTACTGGCTGGAAATCCTCATCCTTGCCCAGCTACATGTTGAAAATAGTGAAGGTAAGTAAATATCTTACCTTGAGATTGATTTCATCCATTAGGGCGATAATGAAAGTGTAGAGATTGCCAAGAAAAAGAGCAAAGATTCGTCCCAGCTGCCATCTTAGAGCTATTCGAGGGTGGTAGTTTTCCAGAGAACTGATTACATCAAATAAAGTTGGACAGAACATTCCTAAAAGTGACATAACCATGTTCACCTTAAAAGGGGGAAAAGAAAAAAAAGAAAAGAAAAAAAAAAAAGTTTGCAGTGAAATGTTGGATGCAAGTTCTTTTATTATTATTGATTTGGGTGGAGGGTGCATTTTCATTACTAGTTTTTATTTGGGTTTTGCTTTAATGAAAAACAAAATCCACTCTGGGAGTCACAAGATGTTTTCATAAAGGAAGAAAGAGATGAAGATTCAGTTACAATCTACTGCAGATGGATATATGAGAACTTTTTTTTAATTTTATATTTCACTTAAACCTCCAGAATAATCAAATGTTAGTTATTTTGACCAGAACCTACATTTTAACCAAAATTCTACTATCAGAGAACTCAGCAAAACCTAATTCCAGTACTGTTTTCTGCTACCTCTATCACACCTTGCAGAAACATAGATGTTTGATAAAAAACATTCCTACAAAAGTATTGCACTAAATTTTTCTGAGATCTCACCCAAAGTTAATTCTAGATGTTACAGAATCATAGAATATCTCAGGTTGGAAGGGACCCATAAGGATCATCGAGTCCCACACCCTTCTCCTCACAGGACTACCTAAAACTAAACCATATGACTAGGATTTTTTTTCAGATGCTCCTTCTGACATTGCTGTGACCGCTTTCCTGGGGAGTCTGTTCCAGTCACTGACTACACTTTCAGTGAAGAACCTTTTCCTAATGTCCAGTCTGAGGCCCCGATGCAGCTTCATTCCATTTCCTTGTGTCCCATTGCTGGTCACCAGAGAGAGGAGATCATCACCTCCTCCTCTACTGCCCCCCTTGAGGAAGTTGTAGACTGTGATGAGGTCACCCCTCAGCCTTCTCTTCTCCAAGCTGAATAAACCAAGTGATCTCAGATGTTCCTCCTAAGTCTTGCCCTCAAGGCCTTTCATCATCTTTGTCATTTTCCTCTGGACACACTCTAATAGTTTGATTTCATTCATATATTGATATACCCAAAACTGCACACAGTACTTGAGGTGAGGCCACACCAGTGTAGTGCAGAGTGGGACATCCACCTCCCTCAACTGACTGGCTATGCTGTGCTTGCTGCACCCCAGGACATGGTTGGCCCTTTTGGCTGTCAAGGCACACTGTTGACTCTTATTCAAGTTAATAACCCCCTTAAAGGATTTCTCTTTCATGCATTAGATCAGTCTTTCTTCAGATGGATGTAAATTTTGTCATTCACAGAACTAGCACCCACCATCTACCATTCTTTCTCTTTTGCTTTTTCTGAACCTGGCTTCTACTCAATTCATTTGATGTCCCTTAGTTCTCATACTAGAAGGCATAGTGAATATGTATTATAGAAGAAAACGTATGTCCTTTGGGCAGTTTTAAATATGGTACCTGCTAACTTTATTGAAAGTTTCCTTGTTGTTTCATGGGAGAGGCAGGACAGAAGTCACTACTTTTCATATTCTTGAATATTCAATGCTTTCTATCTTTTTATTATGTTCTGCCTTTTTTACCACTTATCTGAAGCAAGCATATTCTTTCTTTTTTGTTTTCTATTAGCATTTTTCCATGCTTTGACTATTCATGCTCCCCATCTCAAAAAAAAAAAATAAAAATCTAATTCTGGAGAAAAGACATTATTAAGATAAGAGATGAAATGTGGCACAGAAATTTGCAAAGCTGAAAAGTGAGAAATTATTACAAATAAAACTGCAATGTTTTACTAAGACAAAAAGTAGCACACTGAGTTTTAAAAAAAAAAAATAAATGATGGGTTCTATATTTCAAAATCATAAACATTTGTTATATAGTTTCATAAATATATTGTCATTATACTTTTTAGTTTCTTGTGAAAAGAGCAAAGAGCAGAGAAATCATCCTTTGAATTGACCATTTAATTTCAGCCACTTAATCTAGTTTGGCTCCAGAAAGGAGTTGGTTTGTGTTCTGGACTGCTTGTGAACTTGAAGCTCAGGTGCTCGAACAGATTTTCTTCCCCTGTTTTTATCAGTGACAGTTTTGCTGCTCTGTGTGACTTAAAAATTGCAGAATGATATGCCGGAAGGGGGCATGCTGGTATGCATCCATGGTAGATTTATGGTTGATGGACAATGTGGTCTTATGCTCACTATCTGCTGAGTGAATCTCAAAAACCCTCTCTGCCCTACTCAGATAGATTTTTCCTTAAGAAAGGAACAACAGCCAATAGGCACCTACTAATTATTAAAACTCTGGTTCAAAACACAGTCTTTATCTCTCTGTGCATTAACTACTCCAGATACCAAGGCCCTGCATTACACTCTGGAAGCTAGAAAATTACTGCTTGCACAAGCTTTTCCAGCTGCTATGACTCTGGTAAGAAATCACATCTAAACAGTAGTCCTCCTGGAATATTAAACTGTGCCAACATAACATTAAATATTGAACACTGACTGCTTGTTGGTCAAATAAAAAGTTCATTAAGAGCAAATAGTCTAGCTAAAGTAAATCATATCTTCCACTAATGATGGTTGCAGTAGTCATAGATTTGTCTAGCATCTGCTGCAGAAAGTACTAATAAAGACCTATTTTTCTAGTAAATACAGTTTCATTTTCTAAGAACAAATTAAATTGAAATTATATTTCATACTAATAAAAGCTGCCTGATGATTTCTAGAATTAAACAAAGCATTGACAACATTTTTTAATAACTTCTATATAAATGTACTCCATATCCACTACCAGGAACATTAAACTAAATAGCAAGTTATTTGTGGCAAAAGATCTTATAGGGTTGTTTCAGCTTGCAAGACCTGAAGTGTTAAAGCCATACATTTTTGTTGCTGGGGAACAAAACAAAACAAAACAAAACAAAACAAAACAAAACAAAACAAAACAAAAGTGTAAAACTTATCTCCTCTTTGCCCAAATGTTAATGATTCTGATTCACAGAAACTAGTCTGTCTCCTCATAAGTTTTCTCTGCTTTTAAGTAAATTTAATTTTAAACAGTACAGAAATAGATTTGAGAAAACAGGGTACCTCAGTAACAGACAGATATACTACCTTCTGGATCTGCAGACTAACTTCCATCAAATAAGAAAAGTCAATTTTGTTCACCAATTTTCATCCAATTTCAGGACCCTTTACCAAGGGAATCACTGACATTATTCTTATTTTTACCAAAAGTTCCACAGTCATGGGGAAATTGTCGCATGGTGCAGAATCATCATTCATCCTTCACCAATCACTAAACCACAGTCATGGTATGAGGAGCAATGTAAAGACTGATGAAATCCCTTAACAGTCCCAGTCTGCCTATTTCCACTAATGTCCTGCTCTCCATGACACACTAGACAATTTTATCTGGCAGAACTAGGTAATGCCTATATGGAGAGGGAGTTTAAAAATTTGCATTATGACAGAGGATAGTCAGAATCACGAGTGTCACTTTATTGGGCTGGAGCTTCAGGTACAAATGATATAAGGTATATTCCCCCTGGATTGTTCCAAGAACACCATACTTACATGTAAGTGGGTTTTAGTACATCTAGTTTTTAGGTTTTTAATACATCTAGTGTGATGAAAATAAATTTCTTACAAAAGAAGCTTAATATTTTTATGAAAAATGTCAATTTTTACATACTGTTGCTTAAATTGTATGTAAGAGCTGTAATTCCATTTGCTCTAAGTAGTACATTAAGTGTTTATGGAGATTTTTTTCCCCAGTCAAAATATCAGTTTATGTATTAATGATACAAACATAAGAGAGCTTGATCTAGAAAATAAGAAAAATATTTAAATGGGTTTTACGTAGAAGCCAAATATATTTATGTAAATAAATACTAGTATCAAATCAAGGGCAAGAGTTTGTACCTCTCAAATATGTTCATTACCTGTCACTAAGAAAAATTCTCTAGCCAAATAATTGCAAAGTATCCACTCTCTTTTAGAGACACACCTGCTCCAGATCTTAGTTCTGTGACAGAGTCTTAGCAGGGTTTTTTTGTAAAGCAAACAAAAGTGAAACAATGAATGTAAACATGCATGTGTTTAACTACTTTCCAGATTGCAGCATAAACTAACATAACAGCTTTTGGTAGCACAGTTCATGTTAGTACAAATCTGTTACCACATCCTTCAACTGAGAGAAAACTGAATTCCTCTTGAACTGTCTTCATCTGCTAGTCTGTTGTCACACTCAAAGCTTGTGGTTTTTTAAGTCAAGATTTTGTTGATTACTTTTCTTACTCATTGTATCAAAATCTAGTAACTTTTATCAAGTAACTTGACCCAAACTCAATCTCAACAGCCCCACTTCTCTGGATTCGAGAGGTGGATTGCTAGAGTTTTTTATGTTAGCTTTGCAGTCAGGTTTTGGTGTTGAAAATTAAGAATTCCTCATTCCATCATCACCCATCCCAGCATCTTTTTGCCTTACCTTATTTCAGGTATCTCCACTCCAGCTCAGAAGATGAGTTTTAAGTAGCATACAGCTATTTTACAACATATACAGCAGTGTCTTTGCTAAGAAATTAAAACCTGCCCAGGTTTTCACATAGCAACACTGACTTCACGTGCTTACTGCATATTGTTACAGAAACACTATAACTGTACAATTCTATCATGCAGGGCTGCATCTGCTCTAGAAGAAAGCAGATTAAGCACAAAAAAAAAGTGGTATTGAACTCGGGCTAGGCGGCTGGAATTGGAACACATGAGTTTCATTCTGTTGCTACACTTAACTTTGGATATGCCCACACACCAGCCACTTTGCTTGGGCCAGTCTCAGAAGGAAAGCAACAGGAGAGTGGGCTCCTTGAAGAGATCTTGTGTGTCCACAGAGTGGCTGGAAAACAATCTTAAGACCACAGAGGAGGAAAAGTAAAAGCCTCAGAAGAAAACTAAATACAAAGGGACATTTTAAAAGAACCAACCAAGGAATAATTTTAATGAAGAAGGAAGCAGAAAGGCAAGAACAATTATTTTGTTAGATATTTACCACCCACACTCAGAGTATTTAAATTTTCAGGGGGGGAAAAAAAACCCAAACAAACAAAAAAAAAACCAACATGCAGAGTAGAGGAACACAGTTTCAAACCACATCTATTTTAGAAATGTGCTAGCACGAACTTCATTTCTTTCCCACCACCCGTAGTTCTCCAGACCTTCCAGGGCAAATTTCTGAGATCTTCTGACAACAAAAAAGATGAGGTATCCACTCCCAGCAAGGGTGCATAGGGCCAAGAAGTTAGCAAGAACCCTCAGGAATCGAGTCAAGTGAATATTTTCCTCTTTTCGGCTCTCCTGCTCTTCTACAATAGCTTCCTGGAGTTGTTAGGAAGAAAAGAATATTATGACTACTTTAATGTTCAAGACCCCACATTCCTTCCCCAGTTCTTAGAAGTCAGTTGAACAAACTACAAAGATGAGAACGCATACCTAGGCATCATGTTTTGGGATGAGCTTATATTGTCTCATAAAATTTTCTTTGGACTCTGGCAGACCCTAGGGTTTTCGCTCCCCAGAGTTCACTTTGCTTCTGTTGAATGTGTTCCCACTGAGTCTTGTTACACCTGCACTTGTGTGACAAAAAACCCTCAGCATGTTCTGTCAGCTTGCAAGGTGCTATGAGGCTGTGACCCAGCAGGATAAATGTGTGATTGATTAGCTGACAAAAAAGGAACTTTCACTCTTAAAAAGTGTCCATTTGTGAGAAAAGATCAAAAGTTTTATTCTGAAAGTCATCAATTCAAAAGGAATGAAAAAACAGTTTAGGTGTAGGAATCCCAAAAAAAGGCAAGCAGTGCACAGATACAGACTGCAGAAAAAAACTTTTGCTCCACGTTTACCCTTGGCCGGGACTGATACTGATCAAAACACTGGTGCAGCTACAATCTCTGGCTCCTACTTTTGCCAGCAGAAAGAGCTTTTACTCTGAAGTGTCCTCATGAAAAGGGAGTTTGGTTTCAGCTTCTCACTTCAGTATAGAGATCAGTTGCCCAGAGGGGAAGCTGAACTCCTGCATTGTAATAATAACACTGCATGGCTCTGTTTTTCTATTGACTTATGTTTATTACACAAATAAAAGGAGATTGTAACATCTCCTGAGCAAAACTCTCATGACCTCACTCAAGCCAAGACTTCATCTTTTTATCTCTATGGTACCTTGCTTGTTTGCAAAGATCACAGTAAAGCCTCATGAGTTTGTTTCTCAAAGTTAAGTCTCTGTCTCAACTGATTTGTATTTTTCTCCAAATAGTTTTTCGCAACTGACCTTAGTAAGAAGTCAGGGAAAGCTCACACAGTTTCCATGCTTACAGTTAGTACTACTACATTTTTTGTTTTCCTGGGACATTTTCTTTCTACTGACTTTGAGTGCTGTTATGTTTGCAGTTGGGAGAGTGGGCAGGGTGAGATGGTATATTGGCTATATCACTACTGCAGAAGGGAAGTGTGTTGTGAGTGATTGGATAGTGCAGGTAGTGGTTGGTCCTCCAGATCCCATGTTGTACGTTGTCATTGTGACTGCAAGTCTAGCATCTTGTTCATTACCTGGTAACACCTTGCCAGTGTATTCCCTGTACATTATTGCTGTGCTGGTGTGTGCCAGTAATCCCAGTGCAGAAACACATTCTTTAATATTCAACAGATGGAATATATTCCTTTCACTGTTTTCACAGCAGTGTATGCCACATCCTGCCCCAGATTCCTCACACAATGACTCTTGAAATCAACATAAGCTATAAACTGGAAAAAGACTTAAGCACATCTTGTATTGTCTTGAAAACTGGGCTATGGTTCATAGTTAATTTGAAAATAAAAACTTGATATTATGCAAAGGAAGAGATCTTTTTTCTTATTGAAAAGTATACACTCAGAACTCTGCAGACAATTCTTCTGACATAACGAATAGCCTTTTATAGATGATCCTGTTGCTTTATCTTATGGTATCTCTTCAGTGTAGCAAGAGAAGATGATAATGTGAGATTGGCAAAATTTCAGCAGCATTTTTAAAAAAAAAAAAAAAAGTAATTCAGCCAATCGCTATAGAAACTGGAAGACATCAGAGATCAGAAAAAGGAAAATGTTATTTTTACAGCAGAATAATTTTTCTAAAGCTAGTACTGCAGTTACAGAGGACACAAAAATGCCATTAAGCTTTTTCTTCTGCAATCAAAAGGAAAACAATAAGACAGCCAGGCACAAAGACCCAAACTCAGAAGGTTATAAAAATGCAAATTCTAGTTTAAAATTCTAGGACCCAGGCACAGACGATATTTGACCTTAGCTCCATCTGATTCAGATTTAGACTCCCTGTCTCAATTCACATCACTGTGAAAGACAAATCAGGTTAAGCTCTCCTTAGTGAGGTCTATTTTACCTTAAAGCTTGTTGTGATGGAGGCAAACTTATTATCTGCTGTCTCAGGATTGCCAATCAGGTAGTCCCAGCTTGTGAACATTTTCCAGCTGAAATTAAAACTGGTATCATCCCCACCACCGTCTTCATTTGCATTCCTTGCCATTCTACAAAAGTCAGAAAGAAACAGACCTTGTTAGAACTAGTTCTCCTATGAGAGCATGATTTTTTTAATTGTTCTTAAATTGTAACATTGTTCTGAAAAAAAAAAAATACTATTGCAGTCAGTCATGTTATAATAAATCTGGAAAGTTCAGTATGAAACAAGAGAGAAGGATGAAGATTTTCATATTTAGACTATTCACAAGTTCACAACACACATTTTGGTGAGAAATTAATTATTTATTTCATTAACACCTCAGACAAATTGCTAAATAAAGAACTCACTAGGAAAACAATATCGAGATCCCTCAAATAGAAAGCTGCAGAGCATCCTGAACTGCAGTAGATTTTACCAGAGACTTTACAGAGACAAAAGAAAAAAAAAAAAAAAACCACTAAAATAACAAGCCAGAACAAAACCTGATAAAACATGCAAAATATCACTATTACAGTTCTTTGTGTTCCCTTTCATCTCATATGCACTTATAAACAACATTTATAAGAGTATCCAGAAACATCAAATTATTTCTTCAGTGATTTGACTGAATCTTGACTACTAACTTCTCTATTTAAAGTGGTATAATTCATGTAATAATGGTGGTAATAATAGTGTTCTTGCTTATGCATACTTTATCTCTTAATTCAAACCATTAAGCACAAGGATGCAGTATACTAGCTGGGTACAAACCATTTAGCCTTCAGTATTGTATTGATTTCTTGGTCAGGAAAAGGCAAAGCCTGTTTTAAAGCTCACTAACGCAGCAGAGTTATGTTATTAATATCAATACATTCTACATACCACATTTTTAACTATCCGGTAAAATACATGCTCTCAAATCTAGGAAGAGCATAACAGTAAATAATGCAGAAAATCCTTCTGGGGTGTCGTAAACCAATACCAGGGTTGGGTTCTTGTTTTACTGTTCATGTACAGAAGGGACAGGGATCATGAAAGTTTTTTTATAGCATCTTCCCTGCTGCTGGTTTCTGGAGAAAGATAATTATTTCTCATGAGTTCCTAATGAAATAGTGAACAGTCTTATGGTTGGAATATAATTTCTTTGAGTCCAGAAATGTTTTCATTTTGTTATGCACTGGAAGAGTTGTGGAGTCCTAAATCTAAATATTTCCCCTAAATAAAATAATAGTGTTTATAATCCTTGCAACCTCTTTTATGTAGACATTCCTTTTCCCAGATCTCATTCAACGGCAGAAAAATGTCAGACCTCCTTTTAACACTGCTTTTAGTCTCTGTGCCCACTGTGTTGCTTTCTGGGGACACAGCAAAGAGCAGAAGGTCTACAAGAAATGCTTATAATATTACCTAAATATTGATCAGCATTAGTGTCACATAGCCAAATAGGAAGCTAGCAAGTACAACATATTTCTGCTAGAAGTAATTTTATTTTTCTTTTTTGTCTGGATGAAATATAATTGTCTGAGACTAAGACTTTTCTAACCTTCACAACTGCATTATAAATATTTTTAAATGCATGTTTGAACTAAACCAATTACTTTTTATTGTAGTAGTTTGATTATCCTCCAGAAACACATACATGTAACTGGAGATCTGGAGATTCTTTTTTTTTTTTTTTTTTTTTTTTTTCTTGCCCTATGCAGGAAACCATGTAATGTTTGAAAAGAACATTAATAGATCTAATGCTCATGCAAGTGAAAAATATTAGCTTCACCACAAAACAGTGGAAGTAGATTAACTACAGTTTTTTCTATATACAAAAGTGTCTTTGAATCTTGACCTGCAATGCTGATTTCTTTCCACTGTAAACATCTTTTAAAGCCACCACCATAGCTAACTGTATTATTTTGGTAGGTGGTGACCTTGCTTGTATCAAGAGTTTTGATTATTATATTCATTGGCAGCCTATCTCCTTAGAAACTATCAGAATTAACAGTTTGTTTCAGTAATGAATTTGGCTATAAAATAATAATTTTACTTCATTTAAATTCTGATCCTAAGACAAAATCCAATCCAAAATTTGAGCGCCAAACACTAATATATCTCCAGTTGTACTGCCTAGGCCCTGTTACACTTACCCCTATGCTTCCTACTGTTTTAACTATGTTCTTAATATTATATTAAGCATAGTTTTCACACTGCTAGGGATTACTTTGTGTTCCACAGAACATTAAATCCTTACTATAGCCAGTAGCATTAATTCTTCTATATCACTGTGCAAATATGACCTAACTGTTACAGTCTTGCTGAGATCATTTACTGCTGAGTTACACACAGAATTATTTGCCATATGTTTCTTTCTTGTCTTCTTCCCTTGTAAAAGAATTAAATTCACATAAGGTATCATTACAGATAGAACAATTGAATTTCCTGGATGTTAGCTGACATTCAGCTAGATGCATAGTATTATGAAAAGATGGGCTGACAGGTCTGTTCTTTACTTTATGCATCCATTTTTCACTTTGAAGTTGCAGAAGAGAAGTGTTATGCTTTTTAATTAAAGATTTTTTCCTGCTTCCACAACACTGCAACATAGCTGCTGGTGCGGAACAATAGATAAATACATGATGAGGAACTCTTACATGACTTTGACCTTGCACTTGATCTTGCATTGTCCTGCCCTTACAATTATATTTTTAAAAAAATAGTCTCAGTGATCAACAGTGATCTGCCTTTTTGAATGTACTTTATTCCAGAGCCAAGGAGAACTTACGTTCGAATGACAATCATAAAGCTGTAGCCAATAGTTCCAACACCAACAAGGAAATACGAAAGAGGCATCCTGAACTTGAGCCATCCAATTGTCCTCTGGTTATTGTAATAGCCATAAAAGAGTACAGAATACTGTGCAAAGCCCTGAAAAGTCAGAAAAAATTATAATGTCACATCTGATAAATATGCACGTAATCAGAAATTATTATCGTATCAATATCAGTGTACTGAAACATTCCTTTCAATGCATTCAAAACAGTTGTAAATATCACTATAATAAATCTCACAGGATGGAAAATCTCTACTTGCATTTAGAGACACATCATATTTCATGTCAACTTTCAAATCTTTTATCTTTAAAACTCTTCATGGGCACTCCATCTACAATTTAATGAGACAAAACTTTTTCATCCACATACATTTTTGTGGTAAAGACAAAAACATTTCAATTTACAAACTTTGTTTCACAAATCGCTTACAGAAAAAATGACAGATTTTAAACTTAATTTTCACATTTCTAAAATTTATCTGCATAGCTTATTTCATATAAGATTCTCATATGTCTTCTCTGTCTAACAACGTTTTCTGCTATTCATTGGGTGATCATTCAGTATATTAACCAATAGTTAGTTTCATTTTATAGATTATTATTATTCAGTATGAAGGGGGTTTTTGACACTTCGATTCCAAGGCTGTAACAAGCACAATTTTAAGTTTACCTTCTCTCGCAGCGATTCAAGGTGTATCTCCTTTTCTGAAAATCTTACTGAGAATTATCCTCTCTTCTATGGGTTGGATTGCTGATTTTTCAAAATAATTTACTCGTATCTTACTAACTGTAAGCAATTGCTGGTATATAAAATGTTCCAAATAGCTAAAGCTTCCTGATAAACTTCATGCTAGAGCAAGAAGTCGCATCCTAGCGAACACTGTATTCAGAGCCTTTACAAAGACAGCTTAGCACATGCACAGCAGTGGCAGACCTCCAGCTAGATGTAATGATTTCAAGTCAAATACAGAGTACTTGACCATGTAATTGGTGGATAGACCATGCATTATTTTGACACTAATACAGTAAGCTGAGTGTTTGGTGAATTGAAAAAGCCATTTACCTCCCTTCTGCTTTTCAATTGTTCATTTTAATGTAAATAAATAACATCTCTCTCTTATGTAATATTGCAAAACCTGCATCTAATTTATTGTAGTTCTTTCTATATATTAAATGAGTCACAGTATTACCTGGAAAACCTAATTTGCAATTCTAAGATGAAAATGAAATATTAACATGTGATAAACAGTAATATTATTCAAAATGTCTTGATTTGGTAATCAACATATCTCCTTTTTCTTCATGTCAGAGTAGCTTTGAGAGATGTTGCCTACACAGAACAGATAATAGTATGTTCTTCTCCGATAAGGGGAATATTGTTATAGAATACATTTATTACTAATTAACTGGAAAACATCTACACCATTCAGGACACATTCAAATTCAACAGTATAGCTTTTCCATCATTTTGCTTATTAAGCATCCTATTATTCCATCTTAGCCCAGGTTTCAACACAGTCTAACACAGCTCTAGAGAGCCTTTTGGATCCCTCAGATTATTAAAATGCTTTTTAAGTTGCCGTGTTCTGCAAAGTCAGATAACTCCTCCACTGTGTGTCATACAGTAGTTGTCACATGGGCTTTGCATACTGCCTTTCAAGATGAGACCTGAATTATATTTAGCTGTGTAACGGTAGGCACGTGTGGAAATTCTCTTTCATTCCTTTCTGAGCCTAACCTAAAAGAGAGGTGACATCAGAATATTGGTCAAATGCTTTATTGTAATGAGCCTTGAGAGTCTGATACTTTTAGGTTTGGATTATTATCTGAACTATAAAATATACAAAGTTAAAACTGAATTGCAAGTAAAATATATCAAAATCTAAAAGTGTTTCTGTTTGATTTGTCAGTAAAATGAGTACAATTTCAAGTGAAAAAAAGCGAGTCATGTTGAGCTCATCTTTACTGTCTTAAAGATTGATGGGGTTTTTGGGTTTTTATAAGATGAAATAATGTTTGTTGATGTGGATTCATTTATTTGTAACTTACTTGGTAACATACAGGAACAGCTAACAGATGAAAGGTATTACTTCCTGTACTGACTAATTAAAAATGTCATTGTCTTCAGGGATATTTTTCAAACTGACATGCCTCAGGAATTTTTTTTCCCCCTCGATATTTCAGAGGATCTATTTCTTTCACTGACCTATTCTGTGTGTTTACCTACCTTTGCATTTACTCCTTGCGTTAACTGCTACCAAGTTAACTATATGTTCTTATTTGGAGCTGTCAGATCCTGTTTCTGACAGTTACTATAAACTTCCCTTCTATTCTGCCATTTGTCTTTCTTCGCTTTTTCTTAAATACATTTCTTCTAAAAACTTTTTCCTATTTGCTGTATAAAGGTCTTCTAGTCTTTATTCTCTTTACAAAATCTCCAGATATTACAATTCCTTTTCCTCCAGCATATTTCTGGTTTAGTTTCTCATTTTCTAATGTTGTCATCACTATCTAACTTCCCAGCTACATGTCTAGATGTATTTTTCCTGCCACTCAAATATACAACGCCCGATGAAACAGATGCAATGTCATTTTATGCAGCAGTCATTGTAAATTGTTACATACATGGCTTTTTAGAAAGATCTTTCTGTCCTTTTATATTCAAGGTGGGTCCATCACTTTATGTGACAAAATAAAGCAGAAGTAATCTGTTCACTTTACATATCTTTATAGTCAAAGGACAGAGAAACATTGTAATTTCTACTTATATTATTTTCTTTAAATTCAGTTGTCTACAGTTAATAAGCCTGTAACATTTGCTTGTAGATGAGAAAATGGATATATCCAGTCAAGTTTTTCTAATGTTCTGTCATCTTACAGTCTGATCCGTCCTCCACTGATAGCTGAAGAATGAAAATAGAGCCAAGGAAGATAAACAAAGGACCAAACTCTGGCATGATGAGTCTCCACAGGAAGGTATTGAGCCATAAGCCAAGGGTCAATGTTTGAGATCTTCATGCCCCAAGATTAGGGATCCCTCCACAATTTAACCATATTAAAAATGGCAATATTAATGAGAAGCATAGACACCATACACTTTTTATGTTTTTTCATGAGAGATAGAGCTGGCATCCTGTTAGAAAGGGGACAAGTATGAAAATTTGCCTGTTCCCCTCCTGGGATTGCCTGTGTTGATCTCAATACCTGCACAGTTCTCCCCACCAGCGTGGGTGGAATGGGCCCTCACGTGGGCCAAACCTACATGTAGAGGACACTTTTAGATGAGTCGTTCTGCAGACAGCTGCATAGGCTGATCTGTGAACTGAGGAACCTCTGCCCAAGTTTATTTTTCCAAGAACTGGGTCTGCTTCCAACATCATATTCATGCTTGCAGTTGCTAAAACAACTCAAGTACTAAAAGATATGTATATGCATAACTCTTTAAACATCTTGGTACTTCTTACAGAAGGGAAAGAGTGCAGCAGATTAAGGGAGAAATGAATGCTGCTTCCATTAATCTGAAGGCAAATCTTAACTAGATGGTTGTACCCTTTCACAGGTGAAGAGTATTTTTGATGACATTGACTGCATGCCACAGAGAAACCTAGTAGCCTGAGCAACATATTCTAATACCAAATTTTTCATCAGCTGGCTTTATGTATACTTGTATCATCTTTATATAAAGAGGCCAACTACAGAGATATGCCATATGCAAAATTAGATAAAACTCTTCCAGAAGGAAAAAACAGTATGATATATTTAGGAATATAGCATCAGCTTGTCAGTACAGGAGGTATAGATTCACAGGGTAGACTGGGCATCACATCAACAATGAAGAATTAAATGGTGCTTCTTAATTCAGCTAAAATATCTGCACAATCTATAAAACTGAGACAAACTAAAAATCACACTCTTTGTTTTGGAAGAAGCGTACAGAGCACATTATGGGAATTTTTATGCATTTTTTATATTCACACTGCATCCTCAAATTTGGAACCTTAATCATATAAAAACAGAGGACCAGATTCACCCATAAGAAATGGAAAGTCAGTACCCAGGGATGTGAATCCAGGTTTGAGAATTTTTCCTATGTGTTGTTGGATTGCTACATACACTGAAGTGGGCACATGGACATTGAACTCCATTATATGTTTTGTCTAAAGGAAACATCTATACTCAGATCTTGGGGGGAGGGGGGGGAATATTACTGCCATTTTCTGCTGAAATATTTCATAATAAATCTCTTCATTAAATGATGAAGTAAAAGACTTTGATATTCAACGAGGTATGTGAATATGCAGTATTGCAAGTTTATGCACTTACACTAAAATCCCAGAGAGTAGCAAAGTTCATAGCACTTGCTTCTTCAGCTCTTGGGACAGTTTTTCTAGGTAAAGAACCATATGGCTTCCCCATCAAAGCCTGGAACCAAAAAATGAGAGCACTTTACATTTTAAAGCAAAATACCAAGAGAGAAGGGACAGTGAAGTGTCATTTCCTAAGAAGACTTGTCTTATGCTTCTAAACTCCTTAGTGAGAACGGCCTACTTCTACAATTCTTTTAATTGTTCCTTACATTATTGATTAAAACAATGCTTAAAGTATCCATTAATGGTGTTCTCTAAATTTAAAGTGATGTTCTGCTAGTATTAGTGGATTATCAAACTGTGCCTCTTACATTCAAAGGCAACACTGAAGTCCATATTCCTCTGATGAGTGGTATTTGTCTTAAAGACAAGAGCAGAGATTAATTTTTCTTGCATTATGGATTTTACTGAGTTTTAACTGAAATGTATGGGAAGATACTAGGGATTCAGTTTTTGGATTCTGAGAGTCCCACGGTTCCTGGTGAGATGTTGCTCAGACACTGCATATGTCCTCACAGGGTCCTTTCCAGTATTTACCCTGAAAACTATTGGGCATTTTCTCTGGTTTAGCTTCAGTGGAAAATGGGTCATGCTATTAAAATGCTGTACTGGGAAACTGTTGGAAATTCCTACCTGACTCTTTCCCATAAATAATAAAGAGTAATAATAAATAAAGTAATAATAAATAAGAAAAAGGATGTGAAATAGTGAAATCTGAGAGACACATGATACTTTTAATTCCATGTTAGCCCTCTTTTTAGGAGGACAATATGGTGCCTCAAAGGAACTAGAAAAATACTATTTCACAGAAGTGATTTCTGCCTGAATTAGATCTGCTCTGAGTAGCATTGTTAACAGTTGTTGCTGCACACACCACAAAAAATGTGGGGTCTCTCTCATGACTTTGCAGCCCTGCTGAGCCTCATCAGCAACTGAACTGAAAAAGATCCATGGTGCCTTAGAGGACTGGAATATATCTTTCTATCACAATGCACATTTTAGTCAAGCTACTCCCCTTGGCTTCTTCTTAGTCTCAGTTTCTCTCCTTAATTCTCCATAGGGAAAAAAAAAAAAAAGTTTAGCACCATCCCAGACTACGGGAAAACACTTCCACCCTATACACATTTTTCTGTCATGTCTATTTCAAGACATTCCTCTGTAGAGACAATTGTCCACAAAGCAAGTACATCTTTATAACCTTAGTACACCTTAATACTTTTAAATAGAGCATAAAGAGATTAAAAATTTATTTAGAGGTCCAGTCCTATGAAATCTCACTGCAAAGACAGAAATTCACATAACAATTCTAATGATATTTTAAAAGATCCCCACCTCAGGCACCATTACAAGTCCAAAGGTCAGTCCAAAGAGAATCATATTTATTCCATACATCCAGCGTAAGAATATGAAATAAGATGCTACTGATGAGCCAAAGTGACCTATGAAAACATGAGATGTGAAAAAGAGCAGATAATTTAGCCTTCTTATGTTATTTTACCTTAAGATGCTTAAAATTTATTTGAAATAAATAAATTCAGGGAAGGTTTTTCATTTTCTTTTTCATCATATTTCTAATAACTTTTTTAACAGATTTCATAGTAGCATTCACTGGCCTGGCAGAGAAAACATAAACAAAAAATATAAAAGTATTTACTGTGATATTTATTAATATCTAATATTTAATAACAAGCGAGAAGATTCAAACCAAATCACAGGGATTTTTTTCTTTCCTTTTTTCTGTCTGATGTGGATTGTAAGCATTCTTGACACATTAAGCCAGCACCAGCCCAGATTTAATAGGAAGTAGCACAGAATTAGCCAGTGGGGAGTGTTTCCAAGGGCACAAAATACTTGTAAGTGTTGTTATTGGAGTGCTCACCGGAGTTGTTCACCACAGAAGAACAAAAAGATTTGTAAGTGTTTGTACTCTTTTTTTTACTTCGCTATTTATGTGTTCCACCTTCACGCAGGTGTGGAGGCGGTTCCATCACCAGGTGCACAGATGAGGCTTTGCACTCCACCCACTTTAGAACCCTGATCCAGACCTGTGCAGAGAGGTTGCCGGGGAAGCAAGCAGTGAGCACTAAGGGCCTGATTTGACCAACACTCTGCACGTCAGGCCAAATAGCAATAACAGTTCAAATTCAAACCCTGTTTGCTGCAGCACAGCTCTGCTGAATATAGAAAAACTGGCAGCCATGTTCACCTGTCTGTCAGAGTTATCAAAATACCACATTTCAGTTCCGTTACCAGTCACTCACAGGAAAAAAAGCAACCTCTTAACAGGCTTTTCACAAACAGTGTAGTTAAGGAGCCTGGTACACTCTGATGGCAAATAATAATAAAGAAAATCTCTCTGTTCAGAGGTGTTTACATTGGTATTTCCACAGTTTTGCAAGCCTTGTAATAAATCTTCCATTCTGTAAAATAAGGTTAACATGGCTGGTGCTATTTGGGGCACATATATGCACATTTTACTATTACAACAAAATCGGTAGAAAATTGAATATACTTAAACTGGTATAACCCCAGAGGATAAACAGAGTCTGACTGGTAAGAAGCATTTATCAGGGCTGTGCAAAGGGAGGAACAAGCCATTCTGTCAAGGATTTCAGCATTTCAAAATCTGCTTTATTCACAGTTTAGAATGAAACCACAATTTTGAAATTTTACATGAAGAAGTAACCAATCAGCATAAAAACATAGTGGGAAGTCTGGATAGAGGCATAAAGCACGAGACTTTGAGTTAGTCAGTCTGGCTGTGATATGCCTATTACCCTATTGCAACCCAGCTATGGCCTTTGAGGATACTACAGACTCAAAAAAAATGAAGTGCAGGAAATTAGAAGGATTTCTGATTCCAAGACACTTTTGATACTGTAGACTTCTCCATGACTCATTAGTTCTTTTGCTCAAATCCTAACATCCCCATTCTTTTGGGAATGGTGTCTTTTCATGCATTGAGTTACAGCTCTTGTATCAGTTATCCTGATGAAATCACTGCCATGCATCCATCTGGAACATCTGCATTAAGGCACTGCATTGGAATTACATGCATCAGCGAAGTTACTGCAAGTCACAATGCACAGACTGCACATGGGCTTTATTCTTTTTCACCAATGAGGTAAGAACAGCAACTTCTGGTAAGTGAAAATCTTAGCTGGGGATGAGGATATTTTAGCTATGGATGCCCTTAACTACATTTCCAAGGTGAGCAGGTCAAAACAAGGCAACAAGCAACATGGAAAATGGTACAATCAGCCTGCACCAGCTGTAAAAAAAAAAAAAAAAAAAACAAAAACCAAAAAACAGTCCAAGTTTCACCAGTGTTTTGAATCCACTCTGTGGTGCAACATGTTCCAGGTATGAATAAGAAGAGTAACACTTTAAAGTAGATTTTAGCCACTTTTTCCACATCCACAGTGTCATCATACTATACACTGGCATGCAGATTGGCATGTATAGTATAAATTTCAGCCATGGAATGGAGAGGTTCACCCTGTCCCAACACAGCAATGTTTGTTTCCCATGAAGTCCTGTTGCACAGATACTATTGAATGTCTATTTTGTAAGGAAAAATAAGTGCCTCTATTCTAAATACAAATACTTCATATATTTATCAACTTCTGTCTTTCTCTAACATCAAAAGTCCAACAGCAGATTCACCTATTTCCAACACAAAGATGCATCACAAAAGGTCTTGATGCCTATTACTCTGAAGCTGGGCTCGCTGTGCCAGAAAGGACTCTCATATTGTAGGAGGTAGCATACCTGAGATAGCCCAGCACTTCATGCTGATACCTGGTCTTTCTAGATAGCCCTGGAAGAGTCAGACCCAGCTGAAGACGGCTGCAGTAAGCATCCTTTTTGTTATGGTGGGGAACACTATGAAACTAAGCAGAAGTTAAAGATGAGTTTTCTCGCTAGGGCTTAGAAGTAGTTGCTACTTTCCTTTTTTCTTCTTCTTTTTATTACTCCCTTTATTTCTTTATTCTTTTAGTTATTATTATTAAAATTTTGATTATAATTACCACACAATGGAAAACTCTTTCAAGAATTTTAGTATCTAAATATGCAATCCCCCTGCTGTCATAGGTCCATCAGAAACAATCCCTGTATAAAGATTACATGTGTGGTTGATGAAACTTTAGGACACAGTATTAAAAGTTTAAAACAGGGGTGTGCCTTCTCATGACAACATTAATAATGATGACTAGTGAATAACATATAGTTATTTTTCCTATACACTTCTGTAGTACATTTAAGACACAGCAGTGTGACTATTGACTTGCAGTCAGGGTGGTTCTTGGATATCTACAAGTGGCCTTGAAATAAAATCAGAATTTCCTCAAAGAAGAGAAGAGCACTTAGATTTATCTATAATACTAGCTGGTGTCCTTAGTCTGACTTATCCTAAAGGAGACTTTTGTTCAACAAAAGTATCTTTTTGAAGTCTGTTTAAATTTTCTCATCAGGCTATGGTAACAAGAAAAGCTTGATAAAATTTGTATCTTACACCTTGGAAATTCCCAGGCATACCAGCACAACTCTGGATACAGAGTTTGTTCAGTATGAAGTGTTTTCTTCCCAGGCCTCTCTAGTGTATATGTAATGGCCCAGGGAACTTTTCAGTTCAGTAGCACTGCCAGGCACATATTTGCCACTTGCCCCAGTCCAACACATTCTTTATTTGACTTCTTTTTTCCTAAAGCTACACTATTTCTATTGGCTTTATGTGAATTTAGCAGTTCTTTAGTTCTCATAAAGTGTGTTTATTTCAACATTGCTTTTCCCATTAAGTCTTCTGCATCAGTTGCAGTGGTAGGGCAGCACAGCTACCTAGCCTCTTCAGTCTGCATGAGAGAAAGCTTTCTATGTCATCTAACATTGTTTTACCAGGTCAGTACTTCTTTTTAAATCAAAGAAAGCTTCCCTAGTAGTACCTAACGGATCTTTTGCCACTATACAGAACCTTAATTCACTTTTCATTTGCAATCTCTCTACACCCTTGGTTATTTTCAAGAATGGACTGACATCCAACAACACGACAGTATAATACCTGTGTGTCTGTATGTATTTCTAGTGAGAAAATTGTCACAAAAGAAACTAGTTTAAAAATGCTAAACTGTGTAGTGACATGGAAAGCAGTTGTCCAGATGCAAGTCTGTGGTATAGAAGTGAGCCAGTGCATTTTGCATTATCACATTTCCAACAATGGTCCAAGCACCCTACTTTATCTCTCAAAATCTGATGTTATTTTCTGCTTAAGTCACTGTACTGTCCTGCAAAAATGAGCTGTCCTGTAGACAATGCTCCCTCTGATTTCTTCTATGCAAACATATTTTGCCACATGAGACTGCAGCCATAGGAACTCACATGACTAAGGACTTACGACAAACAATGCTGTCCGACAACAGTATCTTTTTAAACATTGATCCTGGTGTCCAAGCCTAGTGTTCGGCCATTTTCTTCAACCACTCCTCAGTATTTTGGGTGGACTAAAGGATCCAGTGGTTACATGACAGGTGTTGACTGTGCCAGAAAGATTCTCTAAGGTCTTCAATATGCTGCATTTATCAAGTCTTATGTAAAGTCTTAAGTAACCAAAAATATTTTTCTGCCAAATTCTTTATAAGCTGTATGAGGCACATTCTGTTCATTGTCTGATGTCATGTGTTTAAGCCAGTAGTGTTATTGTCATTTTACAAAGGACTGAACTGAGCCCCACAAGACAAAGCCATTGGTGCTTCAAGTCAAAGGGGATTCAGGTCCTTGCTCAGTTTGGAGCCATCAGGAAACAAGCCTCCCCTTGCAGAGTTGCTTTTTCTGGTTCTTTAACACAACTATATATCCGAAGACAGCAAATGTTAAGAACATTTCATTCCCTGGAGTTCATGCATACAAGCTTGAAGCTGACTCTGTTGAAAAGTTAGCTGCTCCTCCAAAATCTTCTGTATTTGATGTCTGATCAAATCTGGAGATTTTCATCAGAGCTTGATATAAAAAGTTATTTTACAAATTATCTCATACAGTCTCTGCTAATCTGAAATTTGAAGAATGCAGGGTAGTCCTTGACAGTACCAACAGTTTGTGAAATGCCAAGAAATAGATAATTCCTTTTTACTAAACTTGATACAATATGACCAATGTAGTACACTTCCAACCTACATATAAATTCAGATAACAAATACATTTCTAGAAAAAAGCAAAACAGCAGGGTTTTTTTCTCTGTGACTCAATGTAACTTAATCTCTACTCTTCCCTTATACACAGACTAGCTTTTTTCCATTTCAGTTTTCCTCACTTCTAATTTTTTAACATCTAACCCCCCTTCTTTATCTGGGACTTGGCAGCTTTATTAGCATCATCATTAAGATGACCTTGATCTTAGTACTAAAAAATTTGCTAACATGAGGCACACACTGAGAACTATTGCTTGGATTAACCTGAATGAAATAAATTGTGACTTTAAATTCCTTTTCTCAGCAATAGTTCAGAGCTGTTCCTTTGAAATCAAGCCCTGTTATAGAGTTTTAGACCAAACTGTGGTTTAACTGTACTCCTTAAATTGCTATATTCAGACAGAGGATTGTTTCTGCAAGTAAAAGTAATTTCAGCTTGCCTTAGCAATATGCTGAACAGAACAAAAATTAATAGAAAAGGGGTAAATTTCACAATGTTCCCCCCTGTGATTATGAAAAAGTACTATCCCACTCTGGTTTTGGGACCTTCCAGATGGCAGCAAAAATTGTTACCATTTTAAATGAAAAATTAAATAAACCCCGTTCTCACATTCTGATTTCACAAGGAAAGAAATGTGGCTGTTGGAAGTTATTACTAGCAGAACATCTTGTGGCAGGACTATTCCTTTACAGAAACTTGTAGAAATCTCGCTCTCACAGATCCTTAAGGTGTCTATTATGTGTCCAGACCAGAAAGAGACCACATGCATCTTGCTGCTGGGTTTGATTTTAACTACATATATGCAACAGCTCCTTTCTAAACTCTACCTCAAGTAAGTAGATAATCTGTTCTGCAATCTGTAGACCATATGTCTAAGGACATTATATAAATTCTCTTCAAGGGTTATTTTGCAGTCCAAAACTCCACAGATCTCACAATTTATCATTTTCCTGTCCTTTTGCTGTTCTGGTTATTGCCTTTTTAATGCCATCGATAGCTTCTTCTAAAGTCAACTTCTCTAAAATCTCTTTCCATTGTACTTTCATCTGCATTTCATCAGTGGCAAAGCCTTACTCAGGTACACATGCAGATTCCTTCAAAAAGAGGGTTGCAGTTTAAATTCATCACTGGAACTGAAACACAAAACTGACTAGTGCCAAAACATACCTGTAGTACTAACTACACTGTTCTGTTTGTATTTATGCGTAATAAATAAAATAATAATAATAATAATAATAATAATAATAATAATAATAATAATAATAATAATGCCTAATAAATGATAAATAATAAATAATAAATATGATATCAAGCTCAATAAATATTAATGAAAAATAAATACTCATTGATTTTACACTACACATTGAATACAGACATGCATTTCTAAATTGTCAAAAAGTAATTTACCATTTTAGCACACATCAGGAATATGATACTAGATACTATTCTTTATTACCTTTCGTAAGTACTTACTTTCAATCTCCTTAATTTTCATTTCCCAGGGTATGCAGGCTGTCTTAAAATTCTCAAAATCTCTTTGAAATTTCATCCATTTCTGAAAGGGTCACAGATAAAAAAAAGCCACCATCATCTCAGTGTCCAGATGCTTGGTTTCCCCTTGAACTAATGTAAACCCTTAATCATCCACAGTATCCTTTGACAAAGCCCACTGCAATAGAAGCACTAGCTTATGAAGAATCATCTCCTTTTTTTTGTTCTGAATATGTCTCCTACTAGCTTTGTGTGAAGTACATATTTCTTCCACAAGAAGAATGATTAAATAATCCCTTCCCTTCATGCTATTCATTTTTTTAGAATTGTTTCTGAGAATTCAATTTGTTATTTCCTCTGCTATTCAAAATTCAGATATATTGGATAAGTATAGTTTCTGTAATTGAGCTTCCTGTGCCCAGCTGAGTTTGAAAGCCTAATTACTTTTTGTGAACAATAATGCTTATGACATGTGATTACACAGTTGATTGTAGTAAGGGTAAACCTGGCCATAGTAATTAGTCCTGTGAAATACTTTTAACATCATTCTGCATCAGAATTTTAGTTTAGAGCAAAAGTGTGCTCTTGAAGTGAATCTCCCCAAACCATCCCAATTTACCACACTTACATTTGCACTGTAAAGCAGTGTCAGAGCATAAAACTAAGTTAAAAGGTGTACTTGAGGAGCATGCTAATCCACATCCACTGCTACTGGGCATTTAGTCTTTGGTACCACACAGGAATTAGCCCAAAGAAAGACCTGTTAGAACTCATGCTGTGTGGACACTGGGTCCTCAGTAACTTCTCTTTGACCTTTCAGTCACAATCTTACGGAGCCATATTGCTTTCTAGGATATATGTGGGCCTAGAGCCTTGGCTCAATGGAGATGCCTACAGTATTTTTGCTGCAGAACCAAAAGATAATTTTTGATCCTTCACAGAGGGTTGCCTCAAGGGGAAGACTGAAGTTTAGATTCGGTCCACAGAAGAATTCAATCTACACCAAGGGAAATTACCTTTCACAAGATATTAAACTCCTGGAAACTCTTGCAAAACAGTTGATTTTTGTTTTGATGAGAAGTATCAATCAAAATGTGAGCTCACATTAGAAATCTTTTCATGTGAGAGTAATGGAAATAAAAGTGTTAAAATGCAAAGACAGACAAGGAACTCTCTTTTGGAAGATGGGTACATATGGCAATAATCTGAAAAAGGCTTGTCCTTTGCATTACATTAAGTTAGTGGAATAACAATTTTACCTTGGTCATCATTACTTTGTATGCATAGAATTTTTTTCCTTTTCCTTTTCCAAGAGCACCTTCAAACTTTTCCACAAAAAGCTGCGCTTCCCTGGAAAATTAGGGCAAAAGAAAGACATAGATGATGCTATGGTAAATCTGATATTGTTTCTGCCATAACAACATAATTTAGTATGTGTTTTATGAGTTATGAGTTTTGAATAATCTTGTTCATTAGTACTGTTTAGAAAGAAATACTCTGAGATGATGTATTTTATAGAAGACTAATCATATGTAGTCCAAACAGAACAAGCAACATCAGTCATCTGTTCTAACACAGATGCATCTGGACATCTTATATCTGTCTATGTCCAAGGAATGTTATCAAATATTTCCAGTCACAATGACTTTCATTCGGAGTTTAGCTGCTTCCCATTTGTGCCATTCCTTATGGTTCCACCTAATATAAATTGTTGTCCAGCTACATATGGGAAATTTATTTTATTTTTTTTATTTCAGATATATGTATACACTAGAGCCTTGGTTCCCCTGTGTCTACCCTTCTCAAGACTAGATTTAATCGAGCTCTTCAGAATTTCCGCATACCTCTAACTGTACCATTCTTGGAATAATTTCTTAGAAGTGTAGCTTCAGTGGTCCCCAAAAGTCTAAAATTTTGATTAAAAAGATATGGAAGTTAAACAATGCCTTGGTGATACAAATATGAAAGGAAGATTTTTAAAAATTTTTAAAAAGGCATAGTGTCAATGGATTAAAACAACAGATGAGATCAAGAGCATACTAAAATTTCCTCCATTTCATCCAATTTTCATTTATAGGTATGACTTCCATGGGTGTCTTTACTGAGAAAATGTGCCCTAAAGGCTAAATATCCTGATCTAAAACACTAGAAAAAAAGACTAAGACTTCTTAGCTGTCAGTGTGTGCACAAGACTCTATAATTATTTTGTCATCACATTAGATGAGTACAAAGCATTGTATATTATATTAGGTATTACACTATGCACTTGGGAAAATCTTGACTATTGAGAAAATGTTAATTTGATGCACATCTCTTCAGAAGCGCTACAGATAAATTCACTGAGTAAAACTAATTATCATGCTTATATCTTCTGCTCACACATTTTATGTAAGCAAGCAGAAAGATTGTGTTAAACTGAAAAATCTGACAATGGCATTGGCAGAATAGTGGTGTATTTGTAATAAAGTAGAATTAAAATTATATGTAACAAAGGCTGTTAGCCATGTCATAATTTCTCTTACCTCATGGTTTAAAATCTCAACATCTTTAAAAATAATCTATATTTTTAGTAACTGCAAATGGTTAGGGTGATCTTCATAGTATCATCTGAAGACCTATTGAAACTTTTCCACACTAGACACCCATTATGCCGGTCTCTTTAACTCACAGTACCAAGGCTCTGTACAGCTTTTTTTTTCTACACTTCCCAAGCTGGTGCAAAATTGAACTACTGAATTTAGCTTTCACTCTTTGAGAGCTTCCCTTCTTTGAGAGTCTTCTAAGCACTGTCACATTCCGAGTGCTCACACCTAAACCCAGTTGCTGAAGCATCAGGACAAGTGCCAGTTCACCTGACCTCCACAGGAGTTCAACATGCCTTTTCCCACCACCTGAGATCCTGTTTGGTCCTTTAAAGATGCAGGCTGGCAGAAGCAAAAAGCTATACACGATGACATTAATCCAAATCTGATTAGTCTTTCTTTTCTTTTCCCTGTAGCACAAGGCATGCACAGATTTGGATAAAAACAATAAAATACCCAGCCACCACCCCAGCCACACATTCCACCTATTCACCATGTCAGAGTGTTTCCTGGGGATTGAGTCAGTATCTTTTTAAGGCTCTAGATAATTTATTATTAGTTCTGTACCTCTGGATTACATTTGTATTCTGAATTTTGGAATCTGATCTTTCTGTATGTTAGCTAACTTTGACTCTGATTGAGCCTTCATTATTTTTCAAGCCATTTTGAGTCCTTCAGAGACTTTTTTGGCTCAACATTCTTTCATTTTGTTTATCAGAAAATTCTACTCATAAATTTCAGTGATCTCATAAGTCAGAGAAAACAGATTCTTTCAGCTTCAGGAAACAGGTATCCAAGACTCCCTTTTAAATCCATGTCCTCAGGTTTTAAAATCGTTTCACTTGTCAGGAGATGTAAGGCAGTCCTAACACCAGATGGCAGCTTCCTCTTAAACTCCGCAGTCAGCACTGGAGCAGTATCATAAAAGCAGCCAGAAACAATAAACTGGACATGTACCAATCTCCCACATCAGAGTATGGTATTCTGGATTTAAGAGGAAAATCTTCTACCAGTTCTGCCACTAGGTAATTCAAGCATTTGAGTTTGTTCATGAAAAATACTGAAATCAAAACCTACAGAGTTATAAAAAACCTGTGCTTTCAGGCACTAATTAAGTGCACTTATGCTGCAGAATATTAAGATTTTAAGTTGTAGGTTGGGGCGGGGGGGGGTGTTATAGTGAAATAATGTTAGAAATTTAAGGGGATAATATGAAAACAACCACTAACACATAAAAAACCCCTCCATAGCAGATATGAACATATTTCGCATCTGTAGCTGAACACAGAACTTTTTCACAAACATGTTCTGCTATAAAATTAAGCTAAGCCAAAACATGAATGAACTTTCCACAATGAAAGCCATAAAAAGATTTATTTTAAACTCATAATCTGTGGCTTCTTTCTCACATTAATCCATGCCTTCTGTTCACTTGTTGAAATACCTCTTTACAAGGTTTCCTAGGAAAAAAAAATAGAAATCTTATCTCTCTGCCTCCTGGACTCTCCATCAACAATCTTTCAAGAGTGTTAGCAGTATTTGAGCTTTTTAGCCAAGACAAATCAAAACATTACTTTTTGAAGGTCTGGATCTCCAGATTTAATGTTGCTGACTCTCCTGAACGCTTCCCTGGGTTTTACTTTGCTAGTGACTGAGGATTTATTTCTTTTGCATCCCTTCTTCCCCAAAATTGTGCTGCTCCAGTGTGTGCTGCTTACAGAAACACTATAAGCCACCCTAAATGTTACTGCTTTATAATCTGGGTTTTTTTTCAGATTTTCACTCCACTGGCCTACTGTGGAAAGGTTCATCAGTGCAGCAGAAACAAACCAGATGATGATCTGATACCAGTTACTGGGTGATTACACATGCAGTCAACTAAGTTACACATGCAAGACTGGAGCACAAAACCAGTTAGATCCATGCATGTACAATATTTTCAAAGCTACTTTCATGTTTCATGTAAGAAGTAGGGAGTGATTCCTTTCATTTTTTTTATATATTGCTTTTCTGTACTTATAAATTTGTTGTACAAATCTTGAAAAAATTCAACTAAGTCCAAATGGTGGACTTACACTACTACTTTAGTTTTTCATTTATATTTGCATTCTAGTCTAGCCATGATACACTGTATTTTTTTTTAATTAATAGGACTTTTGGCATTAATGCATATTTCACATTGACCATGACATGATGTTTCAAACATTCATTAAAAACTGTGGCTATTAATATTTCCCATTCTTGCAAAGTAAAAACCAAATCATCACATATTTACTAACTGTTACCCAATTAATAAAAAAGAAGCACATGTTATGTGGCCAAAAGGGTTGTGGTGAATGGAGTTCAATCCAGTTGGTGGGCAATCACAGGTGGTATTCCCCAGGGCTCAGCACTGGGGCCACTCCTGTTTAATATCTTTATCAATGATCTGGACAAGGGGATCGAATGCACCCTCAGTAAGTTTGCAGACAGCACCAGGATGGGCGGGAGTGTTGATCTGCTTGAGGGTAGGAAGGCTCCACAGAGGGATCTGGACAGGCTGAAGCGATGGACTAAGGCCAGTTGTATGAGGTTCAAGAAGGCTAAGTGCCGGGTCCTGCACTTGTGTCACAACAACCCCACACGTTAGAGGCTTGGGGAAGAGTGGTTGGAAAGCTGCCCAGCGGAAAAGGACCTGGGGGTATTAGTTGACAGTCAGTAGAACATGAGCCGGCAGCGTGCCTAGGTGGCCAAGAAGGCCAATGGTATCCTGGCTTGTATCAGAAGTAGTGTGTCCAGCAGGGCTACAGAAGTGATCATCTCCCTGTACTCAGCGAGGCCACACCTCTAATACTGTGTTCACTTTTGGGCACCTCACTACAAGAAAAACATTGAGGCATGGGACCACATACAAAGAAAAGCAATGGAAGTGGTGAAGAGTTTAGAGCACAAGTCTTACATTGAGCAGCTGAGGGAACTGGGGTTGTTTAGCCTGGAGAAAAGGAGGCTCAGGGGAGACCTTATTGCTCTCTACAACTATGTGGAGGGAGGTTGTAGCAAGGTGGGTGTCAGTCTTTTCTCCAAGTAACAAACAATAGGACAAGAGGAAATGGCCTCGAGTTGTGTTAGAGGAGGTATAGATTGGATATCAGAAAAAATTTCTTCACCCAAAGGGTTATCAAGCAGTGGAACAGGCTGCCCAGGGAAGTGGTTGAGTTACTATCCTTGGAGGTATTAAAAGATGTGTAGATGTGACACTTAGGGACATGGTTTAGTGGTGGACTTGGCAGTGTTAGGTTAAAGGTTGGACTCGATGATCTTAAGGATCCTTTCCAACCTAAATTATTCTATGATTTTATGATGATTATGCAGTTCAAAGAAATGAAATGTTCTTTTTAAAAATAATTTTTCTTAAAGAAAAGAGTGTAAAACTTCTTCCACTCTTGGAATAAATTAAATCAGGTTACCTTTGATGTTCTACAAGCATGTCATTACCTTTTGGTGTGTTGTGGATTTCACCAATAACATTCTAAATAACATTTCCATACACCTCATTTAGAGACTAAGTCTTACAAGGGAACTCCACCACATGCAAATATACGGAGGAGTTATTAAGTGCCCCACAGCAGCCTATCTGTTAGCTGCATCCATTAATATTCACATGACTTAAAGACCTTAATTGTTAGTTAGATGCAAATCTCAATAACTTGATTCTATGAAAAATTCCCACCACAGTTTCAATTAAATATCAGAAAAGCAAATTTATTGCAGAAGCACAGTTTGAAAGGG